TTTTGAAAAATTCAAAGTAGGAAAAGTACCACTTCCGGTTATCGGAAATCGCTCAAAAGTTGATATGGATCTACGATTTTGATAAAATACTTATATATGAAATTTCATCAACCTAGCTGTAACGGTACTCAAGTTATCGTGTTTACACACGGACAGACAGACAGACACACAGACAGACACACAGACAGACACACAGACATACGGACAAGATTGCAAAATTATGTTTTTCCGTATCAGTTAGATGTAAAACGTCGAGATTTGTAAAAATCTCGATTTTTTTTTTGCACGATTACAATACTTTCTCTATACTTCGTATATAAAGGGAAAGTAAAAACGTAGGTGTTATTCTTGAATGACAAAACAAGGTTTAGTTGTTTTTTAATAGTTAATACGATAACTTGAGTACTGTTACAGCTAGGTTGATGAAATTTCATATATAAGTGTTAAATCAAATTTGTAGTTCTGTAACAACTTTTCAGCGATTTCTGATAACCGGAAGTAGAACTTATTCTACTTTTATTTTTTCAAAAGCCTATAACTTGAGTACTGTTTCTGATAGATAAATGAAATTTCACATGTAAGTAAAATATCTAATTTTCTGCCTTCTTTCAAATTTTGAACAATTTCCGTTGACCTGGAGTAGTAAATTATGCTATTTCTAATTTCTCAAAAAACGCATGTGAATTTAAAAAGTACTAATAATATTTCGCATTATTATACACAGATAGTTTGGCGTTCACTTGGTGCGCAAATGTTTTTTCAACGAGATTCTATTTTATAAAGTTTAAGTAATTAAAAATGGATTAAACATCATGTCTATATCCCGAGTCACCATTCCCCGTAGTGTTATTTAAGAATATCCGAGAGAGCTTAGGGGAGGTCACTCCCACTTTATTTTTAATAGTGAATAAAGATCAGAGGAAGTCTGCTTATGTTTAGAGATTTTTGCAGGAAGTGTATCTAATACATATCGTTCTGACCTGTTTATATGTCCTATAGGCCTAACAGAAGATTTTAACATCGACTTTCATAGTTTTTTTTTTATCCACTTGAGAATTGTTGTATACACATTTGTTTTGTTGTTTTATTTAATTTCAGCAGAACGATAATCAATAAAGCTGTTACGTTTAATATGGATTGGTTAAGATAATTTAACCCTATTATATAAATGGTCACTGAATGTGGTTGTTAACCCTTTGTATACCACAGGTAACTAGCTTTTGTTTTAGTGTTAACCCTTTGTATATCGAAGGTTACCAAATAGTGGTCTTAACCCTTTGTATACCACAGGTTACCAAATGTTGGTGTTAACCCTTTTTATACCAAAAGTTCAACTAATGTAATTGTTAACCCTTTAATACCACAGGTTATCAAATGTTGGGGTTAACCCTTTAATACCACAGGTTACCAAATGTTGGTGTTAACCCTTTGTGTATCACGGGTCACCGAATACTGCTGGGGAAAATCGGGACGTTTTATTTCAATATAGAAAAAAAACGAAGACGTTGGCAAGCGTGCACGATTTACTTTCACGGGAATTTTTAGTGGGTTGACGAAAAACTAATTAAATTATTGTTAACCTCATCACACTTTTGATACGTTATTAAATCTGGTGATGGACTGATTTGAAAATTTTAAAAATGTTTGTTGTGTTAGTCAATAATATCTTTAATTTCAGTAACGATTGTCCATAATAATAGACTGAAGTTGATTCTCACCAAGATTAATTATTTGATTACGTTAAACACTCAGAGTTTTTTCCAGGCAACTCTTCAGGGCAGCCCCCCCCCCCCCCCCCCGCAGAATGTTTACCGCCCCTGAACAAAATGGAATTTATATAGAAAATCTATACATTTAACAGTGTCTACCCCCCCGAAGAAAGTCTACCACCCCTCACCCCCCCCCCCCCCCCCAGAAAATTTCAAGTCTCCCCCCCCCCCCATGGAGAAAAAAGTCTGGAAGAAACACTATAAACACTTTCAGCGGTGTGTCGTGAAATGTACGCTACATTATGTAGCTGTTTGCCTAAACTGTTTGTTCTAGTTCCCTTGTTGCCCTAAGTTATCCATAGATCACAACAATTACTACTAATTAAACTTAATTAACCCTATTTCACCTTACAAGCCCTTGTTCCTAACAGTTTTGTTTCTACAGTTCCAACTCATTTCGCTTATTCCCAATAGTTTACCTAATTCTCTTAAGCTACTTGCTGCTAATCCTAGTTCCCTCCTAATTCCTTTGGTTCCCATAATTTTCTCCGATTCCTTTAGTTCCCATAGTTGGTTTTTTTTCATTTATTTTTTCTCCAATTCCTCTAGTTCCCATACTTTTCTCCGATTCCTCTAGTTCCCATATTTTTTTCCGATTCCTCTAGTTTCCATACTTTTCTCCGATTCCTCTAGTTCCCATATTTTTTTCCAATTCCTCTAGTTCCCATATTTTTTTCCAATTCCTCTAGTTTCCATAATTTTCTCCGATTCCTTTACTTCCCATAATTGTCTCAAATTCCTCTAGTTCCCGTAATTTTCTCCGTTTCTTTTAATTCCCATAATTTTCTCCAATTCATCTAGTTCCCAATAGTTCCTTTCAGTTACCCTTATTTTTACTTCACTTATCAGTTAGACAACCATCGCCCCTAAAGGGTTTAGAAGCGCTGTGTTTACATACCACCCTGCTCGTGAATTACAGCACGGATACGCATGCGCATAGAACGGTCATGTGGTTTTTCATGTAAACATCGTTCTAGTATGCGTGTGACGATCAATGCTTTGAGCGAAGATGGATCGTAATAGCGTGTTGCGACTCATAGAGTGAGATGTATCTTTTTACCTAGATAGAGGGATTTTTTTTTACATGTGCGTGTTTGATTAGAGAGCCTTTACATCATTCTCAAACCCATCTAATGTATGTGTTTATCTGCTGATTATCATTAATGACAAAGCTTTTTCTAAAATTGGACGTCATTTCTTGGTTGTTTTTTTTTTCTAGTGGGTTTTAATGATAGTTTTAAATTTTTATCTGGCAACTTTGAGTTCAAATAATGTGTATAATTGTCTTTTCGCAATCTATTCTTTTAGACAGTAGCGTTATTGTTTTTTGTTTGAGATTTATATTTTTACGTGGATATAATAAAGGATCAATGCATATTAACGTTGTGTTATTTGTAAATTTTAATTGTGTGTTGTATGCATTTAATGATACTTTGATGATTTTATCAATTTACAAAGATGAATAGATTCCCTGTAGAAGATTAGAATTATTATTCTTTAGGTAAATTTCTTGATATAAAATTGATTTCAAAGATCAGTGATTTTCTTAGTAATTGTCGATATAGCGATAGAAAGATATCTTTGTAAAGTGATGTATATGTGTTTGTTTGTATGCATAGACTATGTGGCTATGCCCACAATTCGTCTTCAATCAATCAATCAATCAATCAATCAATCAATCAATCAATCAATTAATGAATCAATGAATGAATCAATCAATCAATCGATCAATCGATTAATCAATCAATCAATCAATCAATCAATCAATCAGTCAGTCAATCAATTAATCAATCAATCAATCAATCATATAATCTATCTATCGATCAATCCGTCAATCATTCAGTCAACCAATCAATCAATCAATCAATCAATCAATCAATGAATCAATGAATGAATGAATCAATCAATCGATTAATCAATCAATCAGTCGGTCAATCAATTAATCAATCAATCATATAATCTATCTATCGATCAATCCGTCAATCAACCAATCAATCAATCAATCAATCAGTCTATTAATCAATCTATCAAATAATCGATCTATCGACCAATCCTTACTTTTTTGCCTTCTGTCCCGGTCTTCTGGTGATGTAAGAAAGTCTGCATCTGATAGTCCAGTCCATTCCTTGATGTCCTACATCCAATGTCGTCTTTCTTACCTCCCCTGCTCCCTTGTGGCACCGAGCCCTGCATTCATGTTTTTAATACAATTTTTTTTCTCTCGCTAAGTAGGGTGGGGGTACGTGCTCTGCCCCCCCCCCCCCACCCTACCCCCTCGAAAAGCTGCCTGAAAGAAACAATGACTATCACTCATGTCGTATGTTAGTTTGTACGCTGGTTGTGTGGTTCAATCACCACATAAAACATATGTCTATTGTACGCAACAACAGTCTTGTATGTAATATTGCAAATATTTTTTTCCATCATCACATAAAGGCTATGTCTATTTTACGCCATTACAGTCATGTATGTTAGTTTGTACAGTGTATGCTTCTTTCCATCATCACATAAAGATTATGTCTATTTCACGGCATCAATATCGTGTATGTTAGCTTGCACATTGTTTCAATCATCATATACAGCCTATGTCTATTTCACAATATCTATGTCTTGTATGTTAGTTTGTACAATGTTTCAATCGTCACATAAAGCAGGGGCGTAGCGAGGGGGGGCGGGGGGTGCGGACCGCACCGGGTGACACCATTTAGGGGGGTGACACCAAGGCAAAAAATAGCAAAATATATAGAGAAAAACTCGAGGGGGGGGTGCAAATCGAAAGTTTGAGGGGGGGGGGGGTGCAAATCGAAAGTTTGAGGGGGGGGGGGGTGTGCAAATCGAAAATTTGAAAGTTTGTCCCTGGGAAGGGTCTCTATGCCTCTGGGGGGGGGGGGGGTGACACCATTAAGTGCCGCACCGGGTGTCACCCGACCTCGCTACGCTACTGACATAAAGATTATGTCTATTTATTGACAGCAGTATCGTCTATGTTACATTGTACAATGTTCCCATTTTCACATAAAGGCTATGCGTATTTCTCAACATTAATATTTTGTATGTTAGTTTGTACATTGTTTCCATCATCACATACAGGCTATGTCTATTTCACGACATCAATATTTCGTATGTTAGTTTGTACATTGTTTTCATCATCACATACAGCCTATGTCTATTTCACGGCATCAATGTTTGTACAATGTTTCCATCATCACATACAGCCTATGTCTATTTCAGTGACGTTACTAGCAGCCTGTCTTATGTTTGTGGCCGTGACGTCACTGTGCGAGCTGTGTATGGCAGCCAGCAAGCCAGGACACAAGAACAGCGCGCCCTTATCATTAGTAAGTCACGACAAGCCAAATCTATTTTAGAGACATTTTATTTTGGTCTAGAAAAGCCAATTTGGCAACTTAAATCATTTAGCTTATGTCAGTTTCTAATTAAATCTATTTAAGAGATATGTATTTTGGTCTGGGAAAAACCAATCTGGCAACACAAATCATGTTGCTCATGTCGGTATCTGACAACCCGGGAAACGTCCCCGAGCATTATGAGTCCAATAACAAACATAATTATAATTACAATTTAACTGTTTCTAAGATTATGTAATTACGCAATTAAATAATGCCATGTGTAAAAATCGTTAAAAGAGCATACATGTCTTTAAAAAGCAGTAACTGGTGCATTGTTATAACATTTTAGGGGGCGTATGGGTGCCGTATGTTTTACTGAATGGACATTTCTCCTTATAGGACAAAGGCTGGAATGGGACTAATGCCCGTATAGGACAAATGCCCGAATAAACGTTTGCCCGAACGGGATACATGTCGCAATGGGACACATGCCGGAATGGGACAAATGTCCAAATGGGACAAAAGTCCAAATGGGATAAATGTCCAAATGGGACAAATGTCCAAATGGGACAAATGTCCAAATGGGACAAATGTCCAAATGGGACAAATTGGACAAATGTCCAAATAAGACAAATGCCAGAAATGACGCTTGCCCGAATGGGACAAATGCCCGAATGGGACAAATGCCCGAATGGGACCAATGCCCGAATGGACTTTTCCTTGAATGGGACAAATGAGATTTGTCATTTTAGCCATTAGAATGAGGTGTCACATCTAGAAAAGGAATAAGTTAAGTCATTGGGATAGGGGTCACATCTAGGATCAGCATATTTCCAACCAACTCTGTGGGTCAGTTTGTTCTGAGCAGACATTGTTCCACAAATAGCAGACATGAATATATTATATGTAGGATCCATCACATTTATACCACGTCGTGGGGGAATAATTACAAGGGCAGATAACTAGCCCTCAACAACACGAGATTGTGGTTCTTTGTTTTTGACGTATGCACAAAGATTTAGCTAGAGATTGTATTCAAATAACATGCCTGCTTGAAGCATGTTCAATAAAAGTTTAAAAGCTGGATAGACAAAAATGATAAAAGCTGGATAGACAAAAACGTAGATTACAATAAAGATTGGCGTGTCTTGTTAGATTTTACATATTTACTATGACGTCATGTCTCCTTTGTTATCATTATCTGATCCAGTATTTAAGTTGCGGTGAGAAAAAATTTGTTAACTTTAAAATGAAAACGTTAAACTTTCTGGTACAAGTGTTAAACGATAAAACTCAATCGTTAAACCCCATGATTCGACTGTTAACCTAACACCCCTTTTTAAAAAAAAAGATTCTATTATCAGTCACGGGTATGAGAAATCAACCTCCCGACATTAAACCAAAGTTTTACAACATTCTATTCTGTATTGTCTAAGTTATCTTATTAACTAGGCAAATGTAACCTATTTTACTTGATGTTTGCAATTTAAAAAAATATATTCTTAAAAAAAACATACATTTTTGACACAAAACTCGAGATTTGTTAACATTTAAAAAATCGATACCATACTATTTTTTGGGTATAACGAAATTTTTGAATTCTATTTTCAGGTAAAAATCATGGATCACTTTAAACACCAAGGTAATCTTAGAACTCTTACAAAATTGCCATTTTATCTTTTAATTAAATCTATAAATTTTAGATATCTACATCTAGTTATCAAGGATTTCAGCGATACCTCGACGCCTTTACTTTAATTTTTTATTAAAATTTTTTTTATAAGCTTGGGTGTTTGAAGGGCTCGTATTGTGAGAGACGTATTTGATATCTCCGTGTTGATTAAAGAATTTAAAAGTAAATGGATTTTATATGTTTGGTAATGGATTTCATTGGTCGGGTTTAAAAAGATGACGAAAGAGGATAACTTTATTAACAAAACTATTGATGTCGTTTTGGTTTAACCCAAAGTTAGCCAGAATCAAGGTAGGTTGGCATTTAAAGTTCAAGGATTTTATCGTTTTAGGTGAAAAAGGTATTGATACATTTTTTTGTATTGTTATTGGAACGTCTTGAAACGGTAAAAGAATGATTACATATACATCTAAGAAAAAATTAAAATGATGAACTCTACTTCATCTACTAAAAATAAAAACGCTTGGAAAAAGTCACATCACTTATAAGTATCGCTGGGTACAACTTAGTTAGACTAGAGAGTATGAGTGCTAAATCCAAAAGTTCCGAGTTCGAACCTTCGGGCAGATGAGGCTCGTTACCTGGGTACAGCAACTCTTCTAGGAGAGACAACTCCAAAATAAAATTTAAAAAAACTACTGCCGTGTAGTTTGTTCTTCGTTGGACAAAGGCTATGGAAGCAAATCCAGAAACAAAAGCAGGCTGAAATCGAAGTAAAACGGGCTATATGGCGCATAACAAGTTGACACGTTATACTTAATTGTGTTGGAGAATATCCCTTTCAGTAATGCAGTTAAGAATGAAGAAGAAAAGTATTACTTATAAAAATATCAGTTTATATTCATTTTAGATTTGGAGAATATTGCTGGTATTTTTATGTCTAATAATATAAAGATTTTTTTTGCACACAATAAAGTACTTACATTAAGTAAAGTACCATTTCGCGTCTATGATGCAGGTGAAGCAGAGTCAACCTGTTTTAGTAACCTCGATATTGGAAGGAATAGTGTAGTCGGCTCTATGCCCAGCCGTCTTTACGTTCAGGTACACATCAGAGCTGGGTGGACATTCTACGGACACGAACCTAAATTCGAACTTGAGAGCACCGTGATAGTAGGCATATGCTCTACCACGCGACCCATTTTGGTGCATTTTGTTATTAGCAAATGGCCCTAAATTGCCATGTGGTCAAGCCATCAATTTGGGGTTCCCTAAATCACTAATGGTCAAGCTATCAAATTGAGAACCCTTATATCGTTATGCCGTGAGCTAATGGGAGATGAAAACAAGCATCATGCAAGGATCAGCCAGAACTAATGGCTGCACTAAAAATGTAAGATCACGTGATCTAACATCAGGCCAGTGTCACGTGACTAGATATCACGTCATACCACTATCAACATGTTTGCTTACAATACCAAGCAGTGGCGTAGACAGGCGGGGGTTAGGGGGGGTCATAACCCACCCATAGACCCCTCGGTATATATATATAAAGTATGACGGGGGGGGGGGTGCAAATCGAAAGTTTGAAGGGGGGGGGTGCAAATCGAAAGTTTGAGAGGGGGTGCAAATCGAAAGTTTGTCCCCGGGAACCCCCCCCCCCCCCCCTTGAGACGGTCCTGGCTACGCCACTGATACCAAGAAAGCGGGAGTTATCTCCCGTAAACTTTCTCGAATATACTTACTTATATGCACAACTATGTTTTTCCGACTCAGGGAGGTATAAAACGTCGAGATTTCTGAAAATCTCGATTTTCTCTATACTTCGTATGCGAGATAGTAAAAACACGATTGACTTGTTTGTTTACAAAACCATCAGTGACGTAGGCAGGAGGGGTTAGGCCCCCCACCCCCCCCCCCCCCCCACCACCATGGACCCCTCTGTAAAAAAATGTTTACTGTCATAATACCACTGTTATTTATTTAAATCTATTTCTGAATCAGTATGTATGTATAGTTGTATATGTATGTTTAAAACAGTCATCTAAAAACTGACGCTATGTTCACTCTGAGTTGGTTCCCCACCCCCTCCCACCTCACCACCTAAAACGGGACAGGCTGTAAGTGTGTAGAGCGACATTAATGTCACACCTAGGTATACGCTGGGTAGGATAATTGACCTAAAGTGACCGGACATCGGTGAATGAAGTTGAACCCCCCCTCCCCCCGAACTGATCTGTTAAATACATTTGTTACTATGCCTAGCTGGTTTTACTTTCCATAACGTGAGTCGGGTACCCACTAGAGCTGGGTGGACTCGTGGACGTTCTACGGACTTCAACCTGGTTTTGAACTCAAGAGTTTCGTGTTAGCACTCGTAAGCTCTATAATCCGACCACGCCGTTTGTATTGTTCCTACTGTTAGTTGTATAACGGTGGTTGCAGAAGTTAATGTAAAATTAATGTAAAATAAAGGTAAAATTAATGTTAAATTAATGTTAAGTTAATGTTAAATTAATGTTAAGGTAATGTTAAATTAATGTTAAGTTAATGAATAAATTAGGGCAACTGGACCTGTTTAAGCAAATTGTCGGTTTCAATGGCCGAGTTGTAAAACCTATTTCATAAAACTTAAAATAAAAGATCGCCTTCATTTCAAAGTTAATGCTAGCAGTATAAACACGCACACGATAGTGTTTAATAAAATCATTTTCTAAGTAAATTATGGCAACTCTTTTCCTAAAGTTTAGAACTAAAACATCATTTACGTGTGTCAATATTTTTGAAATTTTTTATTTTAGATACACACGATGATAATCGGTTTCTGTAAAACAAAAATATTAGTTTTAAGCTAAAAAACATCATCGGCTACGAAAAATAATAAAAAACAAAAAAAAAAAACAATGTATAAAATGAAGTATAATTTATATTACAATCACAGCATAGCAAATGTTGTTTTGTTTTTTAATTTTAAAATAAAAACTGGAATTCCCCTGTTTCGTTGAGGCTAAAAAAAATTAAATTTTTAATTAAAATCAGATATGCAATCCAATCAGTTGGCGCTTGCGGGGTTTTCACAACGTTACGAGGTTAATCCGGTTAAAATGTCTTATAGAGACGATAATTTAGTTAAAAAGTCGGTGTGTGTAAATGATAATACAGTTGTGTTGTATTTGGAGATGTGTTAATGTAGCAATGTATTTTTTGATATTGTGAGATGTGTAAATATATTTTTTTAAAGCAATCAGGTTTAGACAAAAACTATTACCTAACATAAAGTATAACCTAGCAAAAAGTATTACCTAACAAAGTATAACCTATGTATAACCTATGTATATATATATATATATATATATATATATATATATATATATATATATATATATATATATATATATATATATATATATATATATATATATATATATGTAACAGAACGTTAACCGTTTGCCTACACCTCTGATTCTGCCCTTTTATAAAGTCGACAGATTTTTACCTCTGAGGTAGTACGTCCCTGAGGAAATTATTTAAAGTACAGATCAGATTAAATAAAACATTCAACTGCTAGCACTAGTGATATTACAGGCTAAAGGGAAATAACTTTTTATTATAGCTGTACTTTACTGAAACCTGAGATTTTATTTAGCGCTTTTTACAAAAACTATTCTAATGATACATTGAAGTCAATATTCAAACTGAGACACAAATTCCGCTGAGATTTAAAATTTATAGCTACCAAGTGAGGGCTAATAATTTCTATACTCATGCGTTGATTTAAATCAAATGCAGTGTGCTTTCTTAAAATACAATAAATATAAAAAGACACATATATTACACGAAGATTGTAGGCCTATATGGAAATGAAAAGCAACAAAAAAATGAATCAATTTGAAAAATAAATAAATAGTAAGAATCCATTTGAATATTTTATTTAAATAAACATTGTAATTAGAGTTTTGTAGTAGATCTATGTAAAAGTAAACCATCTTAAATAAATGAAAGTAGGCTAAAAGTAAGAAAGACATATTACTTTTGTAAATCTGTATCAGTCCTCACATGCCGATGATGAAAACTATAATTCTAAAGCGAACATGCAAGGAAAACTGACATGTCTGAGGCGGATAAAAAAACAACAACAAATAAACCGGGAGTGATCTCCCCTAAAATCTCTCGAATATTCTTATATAACTTGGAATATAGACATGATTTTTGATTACTTAAACTTTTAAAAATAGAATAGAATCTCATAGAAAAAAGAATTGCGCACCAAGCGAACGGCAAAACAAAATGTGCATAATAGTGTGCAATATTATTAGTACTTTATAAATTTACATGCGTTTTTGAGAAATCGTAAATAGCGTAAATTAGTACTTCCGGTCAACGGAAATTACTCAAAATTTGACAGAAGGTAGAAAATTAGATCTTTTACTTACATATCAAATTTCATTTATCTATCTGAAATAGTACTCAAGTTATAGGCTTTTGAAAAATTCAAAGTAGAAAAAGTACCACTTACGGTTATCGGAAATCGTTCAAAAGTTGATCAGGATCTACGATTTTGATAAAATACTTGTATATGAAATTTCATCAACCTAGCTGTAACGGTACAAACAGACACTCAGACAGACACACAGACAGACACACAGACAGACAGACACACAGACATACGGACAAAATTGCAAAATTATGTTTTTCCCTATCAGTGAGGTGTAAAACGTCGAGATTTGTATAAATCTCGATTTTTTTTTTGCACGATTACAAGACTTTCTCTATACTTAGGATATACGAGAAAGTAAAAAACAACAACAAATCACAAAACAAAGAGGGCGTGATCTCCCCTAAACTTTTTCGAATATTTTTAAATAACACTACAAGGGATAGCACCTCGGGATATATACATGCTTTTTAGAATCTCGTAGAAAAAAAGAATCGCACACCAAGTGAAGGTCAAACAATATATGTGTATAATAGTGCGGAGTACTAGATCTTTATAAATACAAATGCGTTTATTTGAGAAATCAGAAATAGCGTAAATTACTAATTTCCGTCATCGGAAATTACTCAAAATTTGACCGAAGGCATAGAATTAGATCTTGTACTTATATGTGGAATTTTATTTATCTCTCTGAAACAGAACTCAAGTTATAGGCTTTTGAAAAACCAAAAGTAGAATAATTCCATTTCCGATTACCGGAAATCGCAGAAAAGTTAATACAGAACTACACATTAGATATAATACTTGTATATGAAATTTCATCAACATAGCTGTAACGAATTAACCTATATATATATATATATATATATATATATATATATATATATATATATATATATATATATATATATATATATATATATATATATATATATATATATATATATATATATATTGTTAATGAGTGCCAACTCCCTCAGAAAAAAAATTATCAGAAAGAAACAATAATTTACATAAATTAAGTAGTAAACTCGCTGTTACAGAATGGGAATTTGTCAAAAACCAGAAAAATCCTCTGTACCTTTGAACTCAGAAATTTGAACGGTCGTGGGTTCAAGACTAAGTCCTGCAAGATTTTGTCATCCTCTTGTTCAAATCAGGGACCATTTCAAACTTTCAACAGTCCTATGATCTACTCTTCCGGAACTTAAATGAAGATTTCCGACCTAGCATTAAAGTGCTTTGAACTCGATGGCTCTTATGACGATCACACTTGATTACAGTGAAAAACGGAGAGGTTGAGAATTTACTGGCAATGCTACAATAATTTATTATGTATTAGCGTTTGATGTGTAGTAGACATACATTTGACAGATAACATACACAAATCAGACTGTTTTTTCTAAAGATTGTCGGCAACAAATGAGCATTATGGCATCAATGGAGTATCACGGCAAAAACGACAGCATTATTTCAACAACATTATTTTTAATAAATGGTTTCAGCAAAACATTATTTTAAACAAAAGACAATTTTTGGTAAAAGAGCATTATTTCAATAACATATCATAATTTAGTAAAAACGAGCATTATTTTAACAAATGGGTATTATTTCAATAACTACAGAACTTCATTTTAACAAACGAACTATTACAACATAAGATCATTTGGTCGAAAAGTGCATTATTTCAATAAAAGAGCATTCTTTTAACAAGAGTTTTCTTCAAACAAAACACAACTCCTTTAATAAAAGGCCATTTTGTCAAAAAATAAAAATATAAATTGATCAAAACGACATGATTTTAAAAACTTTAATAATTATTTTGTTCTCTCCCCAGATCACGTCAAGCTTCGATCCCGGCGGTCAGAGTTCGACAACAGAATCGATACCTTCCCCGACCACCCCGTCTACTTCTCCCCGCGGGGCTACGACCTCCCCCACTTCCCCAGGAACACCAAAGACGCCCCCAGGCACCACCTCCAGGATCTCCTTCTGCCCCCCTCCCACTTCGAGATGGACGACCCCAAGATGGAGGACTTCGAACCCTTGGACCCCGACTTCCTCCTTAAGTTACCGAAGTCCCTGGATGGGTTCCAGAAACCGTCAGACTGTGGGGAATCTTTTAAGGGCGACGTCGACCCGGCGTTAGCTGATATCGTGTTATCGGAGGAGGCGATGAAGATGGGCGAAAAGACAATGGACGAGTTTATGACGTTTTTGGATTTGAAAGGTAGTTAATGGACGCCCCCGTATATATATACATATATATATATATATATATACATATATATATATATATATATATATATATATATATATATATATATATATATATATATATATATATATATATATATATATATATATATATATATATAAACATTTTTGTATGTTTGGTAGCATGTGTCCTGATTGGCGCCTTGTTATTAGGGATATTATCTTCGTAAAAAGCACGTTATTCTGAAGACATACGGTAATTGTAGTCAACAACTCATTATTGTTACAAATGTAGTTTTCACACTTTTTTTGTGGCAATGTAATTCTACTATATTTCTTTTTCGGTTTACTATCGAAACGGACAAGTATGACTGCTGTATTTTCTTGCGGCGAAAAACAAAAAAGACGAAATAGCTTTTCCTAAAATAAACATTGCAATTTTTGGTAACAGAGGTCATCACCATGGCAACTGTAATTGAGGTCGATGGTGTCGCGACCTTTAATTCCGCAGCTCTTGACGTAAAGCTGTTCCTGGGGCGTTGAATGCGCGGCAGTTCTGATGTATCCGGCTTAAGCGATAGCAGTAGCAGCTGATACAACTGGATCAGTGATTGATGAGGGACCGACAAATCGACATATTATGTTAATTTCAAGGAGTCGAATACATTTCACAATTATTTATAGGGTATCAACAAATCGGCATATGTTAATATCAAGGAGTCGCATACATTTTCTTAATTAGGGTATCAACAAATTGAAGTATGATAATATCAAGGAGTCGTATACATTTTCTTAATTAGGGTATCAACAAATCGACATATGTTAATATCAAGGAGTCGTATACGTTTTCACAATTGTTGATAGGGTTATTAACAGTCATTTAATACAATTATTGATAGGGTATGAACAAATTGACATATGCTAATATCAAAGAATCTCATACATTTCACAATTATTGATAGGGCGCCATCACATCGACTATTTTTTAGACCGGCGAGTTTCATAAACTCAACTCAATTATAGATAGGAGAAAACATATGGTCATTTGTTAATATTAGGCAGTCTTAGATAATTAAAACATGCCGCTAATTTCTTTACCTAGACCGTAAGCGATTTTCGACAATGAATAGCATTTACTGTACATGAATTTTGTCAAAATAACTTGCACGACTGTATAATTTTTCTGGCGTTGACTTAGCGGTAGAGCGCCAGGTTGCTAACACGAAAGTCTCGAGTTTGAATCCGGGTTCAAGTAAGTTGAACGTCCTTGAGTTCACACAGCTTTGATGGGTACCTAACTCCTGTTAGGAAAAATAAAGGCGGCTGGGCAAAGCGCTGACCATCATGTAACTAGGTCAATAAACATATGAACTCTACTTCATCTATCCAATTGACTGTTAGGTCTAAAGAGGATTCTATACGTTTTCTGGAAATAAAATTTCTGGTCGGTATCTCAAAGTTGTTTAGCTGCTATCATTACTTAGCCATAAACCTAACCTGATCTTAAACATAACCTAGCTCTACCCTTACACGTATCAAAACTGACATTTTTTTTCTATGGTATGGCCTGGTAGGGCGGTAGAGCGCTAACCTGGTAGCCCGAAGGTCAGGTTCAAATATTGGTCCGGACTCGCCACTATAGGAAGTTCTGAACCCAGGGGTCCTGGGCTAGTCTCTCCAACTGTCCCCATGTGTCCTGGGCTAGTCTCTCCAACTGTCCCCATGTGTCCTGGGCTAGTCTCTCCAACTGTCCCCAGGGGTCCTGGGCTAGTCTCTCCAACTGTCCCCAGGTGTATCCAATCTTCTTGGTGTCAGGTATCTCTGTCCTGGGCTAGTCTCTCCAACTGTCCCCATGTGTCCTGGGCTAGTCTCTCCAACTGTCCCCATGTGTCCTGGGCTAGTCTCTCCAACTGTCCCCAGGGGTCCTGGGCTAGTCTCTCCATCTGTCCCTAGGTGTATCCAATCTTCTTGGTGTCAGGTATCTCTCAGGTATCTCTGTCCTGGGCTAGTCTCTCCAACTGTCCCCAGGTGTCCTGGGCTAGTCTCTCCAACTGTCCCCATGTGTCCTGGGCTAGTCTCTCCAACTGTCCCCAGGGGTCCTGGGCTAGTCTCTCCAACTGTCCCCAGGTGTATCCAATCGTCTTGGTGTCAGGTATCTCTGTCCTGGGCTAGTCTCTCCAACTGTCCCTAGGTGTCCTGGGCTAGTCTCTCCAACTGTCCCCAGGTGTATCCAATCTTCTTGGTGTCAGGTATCTCTGTCCTGGGCTAGCCTCTCCAACTGTCCCCATGTGTCCTGGGCTAGTCTCTCCAACTGTCCCCAGGGGTCCTGGGCTAGTCTCTCCAACTGTCCCCATGTGTCCTGGGCTAGTCTCTCCAACTGTCCCCAGGTGTCCTGGGCTAGTCTCTCCAACTGTCCCCATGTGTCCTGGGCTAGTCTCTCCGACTGTCCCCAGGGGTCCTGGGCTAGTCTCTCCAACTGTCCCCAGGGGTCCTGGGCTAGTCTCTCCAACTGTCCCCATGTGTCCTGGGCTAGTCTCTCCAACTGTCCCCAGGGGTCCTGGGCTAGTCTCTCCAACTGTCCCCAGGTGTATCCAATCGTCTTGGTGTCAGGTATCTCTGTCCTGGGCTAGTCTCTCCAACTGTCCCTAGGTGTCCTGGGCTAGTCTCTCCAACTGTCCCCAGGTGTATCCAATCTTCTTGGTGTCAGGTATCTCTGTCCTGGGCTAGCCTCTCCAACTGTCCCCATGTGTCCTGGGCTAGTCTCTCCAACTGTCCCCAGGGGTCCTGGGCTAGTCTCTCCAACTGTCCCCATGTGTCCTGGGCTAGTCTCTCCAACTGTCCCCATGTGTCCTGGGCTAGTCTCTCCAACTGTCCCCAGGGGTCCTGGGCTAGTCTCTCCAACTGTCCCCAGGTGTATCCAATCGTCTTGGTGTCAGGTATCTCTGTCCTGGGCTAGTCTCTCCAACTGTCCCTAGGTGTCCTGGGCTAGTCTCTCCAACTGTCCCCAGGTGTATCCAATCTTCTTGGTGTCAGGTATCTCTGTCCTGGGCTAGCCTCTCCAACTGTCCCCATGTGTCCTGGGCTAGTCTCTCCAACTGTCCCCAGGGGTCCTGGGCTAGTCTCTCCAACTGTCCCCATGTGTCCTGGGCTAGTCTCTCCAACTGTCCCCAGGGGTCCTGGGCTAGTCTCTCCAACTGTCCCCATGTGTCCTGGGCTAGTCTCTCCAACTGTCCCCATGTGTCCTGGGCTAGTCTCTCCAACTGTCCCCAGGGGTCCTGGGCTAGTCTCTCCATCTGTCCCTAGGTGTCCTGGGCTAGTCTCTCCAACTGTCCCCAGGGGTCCTGGGCTAGTCTCTCCATCTGTCCCCAGGTGTATCCAATCTTCTTGGTGTCAGGTATCTCTGTCCTGGGCTAGTCTCTCCAACTGTCCCCAGGTGTCCTGGGCTAGTCTCTCCAACTGTCCCCAGGTGTATCCAATCGTCTTGGTGTCAGGTATCTCTGTCCTGGGCTAGTCTCTCCAACTGTCCCCATGTGTCCTGGGCTAGTCTCTCCAACTGTCCCCAGTAAAGATGGCTAGGCATATGCCCAGGTCAGGAAACATTTGGACTTTACTGTATCTGCCTAATGGATCGCTAGATCTGAATGGAGAACTTTTTTTAACTTAAAAACTTATCCCGAATTCTAACAATAAATTTAGCAACTAGCTTGAAATTCGTTTTTTTACTGTAGTGCGATACAAGATATCAAACAAGCGATGCGATTCTGAACTACCATCTGAAATAATTCAAGCGATACTATATTGTACAGACAACTAAGATCAAACAACGACGATACCATACTGCTTGAGACTTTACAAACGATACGATACCATACTAGTTGAGACTTTATAAACGATACGATACCATACTGCTTGAGACCATACTTCCTTTACTCAATGATACAAGTACAAATTTTAGCTACACATTTTTTACATAAACAGGCTTTGATCACTTTGAACTCTAAACCGCCTCCACAAAAATCAAATGAGCAGAAACTTCCAGAACATTTTATAAACATAAACGAAACATAAATGGCGTTCTTATAAGAGTACTCAGGTAAAATAAATTCGTTATGAAAATAAGTAGCCTCAATGATAATTAAAACTCCCGTTAATTTTTTACATTTTTTACTTTCTCGTATATACGTAGTATAGAGAAAGTATTGTAATCGTGCAAAAAAAAAAATCGAGATTTTTACAAATCTCGACGTTTTACACCTCACTGATACGGAAAAACATAATTTTGCAATCTTGTCCGTATGTCTGTGTGTGTGTGTGTCTGTCCGTGTGTGTGTCTGTGTGTAAACACGATAACTTGAGTACCGTTACAGCTAGGTTGATGAAATTTCATATATAAGTATTTTATCAAAATCGTAGATCCGTATCAACTTTTGAGCGATTTCCGATAACCGGAAGTGGTACTTTTCCTACTTTAAATTTTTTAAAAGCCTATAACTTGAGTACTATTTCAGATAGATAAATGAAATTTCACATGTAAGTAAAAGATCTAATTCTCTACCTTCTGTTAAATTTTGAGTAATTTCCGTTGACTGGAAGTAGTAATTTACGCTACTTCCGATTTCTCAAAAAACTAATGTAAATTTTAAAAGTACTAATAATATTGCGCACTATTATGCGCTTTTTTTTATTTGCGTTCACTTGGTGTGCAATTAATTTGTCTACGAGATTTTATTCTATTTTTAAAACTTTAAGTATTTAAAATGGATTAAAAATCATGTCTATAGCCCGAGTTCCCATCCCCTGTTATTTTATATAAGAATATTCGAGAAAGTTTAGGGGAGATCACTCCCGGTTTATTTTTTTTCAAAATTCAACATTAAGTTTGACTGTAGTAATTTTTAAGCATTTAAGTTTACCAAAACGTTATGTAATATTTATAATAATTATTTATAATTATGTTTAATGATTATTAAAGTTCTTTAGGATAATTTTAAAAATAGAAACCTAATGCTGACATTTTCAATTCTCCTATTTGTGACTCTAATTCTTTAATGGAGAGTTGCCTAACTTAATTAATTTTAAAAACCTGACCTAACGAATTAGCTCTAATTACATTTAGAAATTACCGTATTTTAATGTGTGTTTAAAAGATCACTCCTATTAAACCAATCAATTGGTCTGCTATTTTAGGAATTAAGATCCATCTGCAGCCATTTTGTTATTGGAATTTGGGGATTGATCCTTTTTATTTTTATGCCATTGATGAAGTGGGCGTTATATAAGGGAGGTAATCACGTTAATGTAAAATTATTTTCTGGAAGAAAGAGTTACCTCCATCTAGACGGGGGGAAAAAACAGTGTCTATAAATAAAGGGAAAAGAGCCTTTTCTGGACTGTCGGTTCTATAACCAGATGAAGTAGAGTTTACCTAATCATGTTTATTTTCCGCGACTCTAGATCGGGAATGAATGTAAACCGTACTAGGTATTACGCTCCACTACTCGAACACCAAGTCACATAGTGCCACTCGTATTCAATTGTAATTCATCTCGGAAACCGTTCGTAACTCGAGACGCTTGTACACTGGATCAAGGATCATCATTGTAAAATTTAGCACCCGCACCATGCATTGTGTTCAATATGTTCACATATTCAGACTTAAAAGAGATGACAGTTGTATCAATAGGTTAATAGTTGTATCAATAGGTCGATAGTTGTATCAATAGGTTAATAGTTGTATCAATAGGTCAATAGTTGTATCAATAGGTCAATAGTTGTATCATTAGGACAATAGTTTTATCAATAAGAAAATAGTTGTATCAATAAGTGAATAGTTGTATCATTAGGACAATGGTTGTATCAATAGGTCAATAGTTGTATCATTAGGTCAATAGTTGTATCATTAGGTCAATAGTTGTATCAATAGGTCAATAGTTGTATCAATAGGTCAATAGTTGTATCAATAGGTCAATAGTTGTATCAATAGGTCAATAGTTGTATCAATAGGTTAATAGTTGTATCAATAGGTTAATAGTTGTATCAATAGGTCAATAGTTGTATCAATAGGTTAATAGTTGTATCAATAGGTCAATAGTTGTATTAATAGGTCAATAGTTGTATCAATAGTTTAATAGTTGAATCAATAGTTTAATAGTTGTATCAATAAGTCAATAGTTATATTAATAAATGAATGGTTGCAACAATAGTGAAATAGTAATATTAATAGGACAATAGTTGTGTCAATAGGTCCATAGCTATATCAATAATTAAATAGTTGTATCAATAATTCAATATCTATATCAATAGGTTGACAGTTGTATCAATAGGTCAATAGTTGTATCAATAGTCAACAATCGAAACAACAGCTAAATAGTTGTATCAATAAGTTAACGATTACGTCGATGATTTTAACAATGTGTTAATAAAAAGTTAATAATTCAAAATTTTGCTAATAAGTTAACATTGTATCCATATGTTAACATTGTCTTAACATTATCTTGACCACACTTTGATTTGTACTTCCAGCTAGCGGAGCTCTAGACAAATGTCTGCTGCCAGTCAAGTAGAAGGTCGTGGGTTCGAAACCTTCGGAAGTCGAGACAAAGCTCACAAGCATGCGCAGTCGAGCTGTCAAGATCTTTTATAAGAAATTAAAAAAAAAACTTTAAGCTGGGATTTTAAAAACAACAACAGATAATGTTTAAATGGTTCAAATAAAATGGTTATAAATTGAACGAAATAATCAGATTTAATGTTTTTTTACGACTATTATCAAGCTGGAGATATAGAGGAACGCCTTGAATGTTCAGCTCAGTCTAAGAAGTTTCGTACAGGAATATAATTTGGATGAACATTTGAATTCTCTTTTTAGTTACTCACAAATGATGTAATAAAGTATGTTTAAGGGAATAAAAATATTGTTCCTCTTTAACAATGAGCTTTATATGTAATTTTGTATTAATGTAAAATCTGCCTTTTTTTAAAATTCAGATATGGAATATATATATATATATATATATATATATATATATATATATATATATATATATATATATATATATATATATATATATATATATATATATATTTATTTATTTATATATAAACACACGCACACACACACAAATATATATATATAGATATACATTATATATATGTATATGTATAATATATATATATGTATGTATAATATATATATATATATATATATATATATATATATATATATATATATATATATATATATATATATATATATATATATATATAATGGTGATGAGAGGAGTGAAACTAACAGACGAAAGAAATAGAGCGAGATTTAGTATTGCTAAGACAAATGTAGTCGTAGATTACCCTTTAATGTTTTATTAGCTTTTATGTTCCCAATCTTACATGAAAATGTTTACCACTGAGCTCATACATCATTGTTAGTTGTCTTTCTAGTGAGTTTTTTTTGCCTTAGTAGGTAGTACACTAGTGCAATATGGCAGAGGCATAGCAAGGGCGTGGGGGGGGGGGGGAGGGATGCGGGCTGCATCGGATGACACCATTCAAGGAGGTGAGACAAAGGCAAACACTTGCAAAATGTACTGAAAAAATATGCCTTTTTGCCAGTTCCATGAATAATTAATGAAAGTTAAATAATATTTTAAGTACGAATCGAGAATTATTACTTAGGATGAGGGTGACACCATGAAGTAAACGTGCTAACTATAGAGAAAACAATGCTACATCCAACTATGTTAATAACAGACTATAGCTGATACACATCGTTACTATTAATTCTGCAGTGATTAAAGCTTATAAACATACATGTACGCGTAAGTGGCATATATTTAAATTATACGCCTATGTAGACCCCCCCCCCCCCCACACACACATATTTATATATTTTGTTTTTTGGGAAGGGGGTGACACCACGAAATGCTGCACCGAATGACACCCGACCTAGCCAAATCCACACGATATGATGTGGGTTAATGTTTTTATTTTTATTTTATGTTGTTTTTTTTTTCTCTCACTATAATGGTCAGATTAAAAAAAGAGAAACAAGGGCAAAAACTCTATATTTTACAATAAACTTAAAATTCTGGTTACTCCTCTTTTATCACGAGCAACATTTAACAAGTCAAGGTGTTTAAATGATACATTTTAATCAACATACTTTATAATTTAATTTATAATCGCTGTCATTCAATACATTAGGAAATTATTATTTTTGTGAAGTCTTATTAACTTTTCCTTAAACATTTACAATGTTTTATGCTTTTACTTTTTAATAGTTTTCAACAAAAACATTATTACCATAGTTTCAAAAAATCATAATAATACAGTAAGAGTTAATATCCCATCAGTTTAGAGGCCTTTGCTAATATCTGTTTACTGGAAGCGTCAAACATTTTAACCAATCTTGTATCCTTTTTCTCAAAAAAAATTCTTTATACTGGGTACGAGTGTAATGATATGGCGAGGAATGTAAAGAGTTCAGCTGGGTAAGCTCCTGGATATTTTTAAATACAACTTCTAATGTGCACTCAACGGATATTGAAAGGACTCTAAAATATTTTTCACCGTAAAGCTTGCTTCTAAAAGGGGAGAGATACATCACGTCCATAATAAATGGTAAAATAAAGTAGTTATCGAACCCGGTGGTATATTATGCAGCTGAAGTAGAGTTCACATGTTTAAAACCTCGGCATATAAGGAAATAGTGTGGTCCACACTGTACACAGTCATACACATAACAACAGTCAGGTACCCATTAGAGCTGGGTGGACTCAGGGATGTTTTACAGATTTGACCCAGGCTATGAACAAGATTGCACGTTAGGCAGAGTACGCTCAACCATCTGAACACGACGTCCCATATTCAATAATAAAGCTGTTTTGCCAACTTTAAAAAGTTATTTCTGCAAATCAGTGCTAATGAACTTGAGTTGACTTTACGTCGACGATGTGAGAGGGAAGGGGGGGGGTCGATGTTGGAAGGAGGCTATAGTAAGCGGACTAGGGCGTGCCAAACCCCCCCCCCCCCCCCCCACATATATATATATATATATATATATATATATATATATATATATATATATATATATATATATATATATATATATATATATATATATATATGTGTGTGTGTGTGTGTGTGTGTGATACAAGTCGACACCCTTCTACCCCCCTCTCTCTCCACCCACTTCCTCAACAAACAGAACAACTCTTAAATCAGTAAAAATCACATCAGCACCCGGTCAATGTTCCATAGAACTCACCATGTAAGGCGCCAGGTAAATGCTCTTAACTTCATTCTAAAATAAATCAGATAGCTGATAGTATGTCTCAGATCCACAATTTATTCTTTAAAAATTCAAGGCCTGTCTTACCAAGTTTCATCTAAGTATTTTAATTACAATCTTAAATATAATGTATGGGTGTCTCGTCTTTCTTGTTAATTGAGTTTTTTATGGGGTTCTTTAATGTGTATTTTTTATTAAATAAACTTGTTTTTTTTTATTTTTGAATTTAATACCCTGAAGACATTGATCATATGTAACAAAATACATAGGAGAAGATGTAGGTTGGATCTAAATACAGCAACAAGAATGGTGATATTTGTCTAACTTCAATTCATCAAGGTTCAATTCAGTAGAATGGCTCTGCTGGCCACAGTATGTATGCATATGCCGATGTCATCTGAAGCAGATGAGCACTACTTTATCTGTCCCATGTGTCTTGGGCACATTTTTTTTTCTTTTTTGCCTCAGACATGTAATTTACAGCGTCACTTTGCCTTGCATGTTCGCTTTAGTATTATAGTTTTCATCATCGGCTTGTGAGGACTGATAAAGATTTACAATAGTAATACTTCTTTCTTACTTGTAGCCTACTTTCATTCATATAGATCTAATACTAAATGTCTAATTATAATTTTATATTTAAAAAAAACTGAAAATGCAAATTTGTATGAGTAATTAAATGATGATTCAATGGGGGGGTTTGGGCTTTGAAGAAGAGCTGAAATAAATTTGGGATTACAGAAAATTAAAATGATACAAATTTTAAGCAACCGGAAAAGTTATGTTGATTACAATGAGAAACATCAAAGCAAACATTCTTCTCTTTCAAACATCTATATCTATAGCAGTCCTCCCACAGTTTTTTCTTTTTCTTTTTTTTTTTTAATTTGTTTTTAAACATTTAAAATAGTAATAATAATTTATTTGATGGTTTTACACAGCTTCAAAGTGTTGGGCACACGATGATGATAAATTTATGCTTTTTTCAATACTTAAAGATGTATACCGTGTTTCACGTTAAGACTTTATATATATATATATATATATATATATATATATATATATATATATATATATATATATATATATATATATATATATATATAACTTAATACAATTAACTCAATGTTAGTGGTTAGGTAATAGACATTGTCAACATTTTAAATATTTAAAAACAGAGAAAAAGCTCTCATACTGAGAGGTTGTTTCTGAGATTTGACGTCTTGCAATGTTCTAATTTAAGAACGCGTTTAGACATTGCTAGGTGAAGTAGAACTCATCTTGTCAACTGGTCATATAGGATTCCATAGCCTTTGTCCAACCAAGAACAAACTACGAGGTATCAGTTGCTTGATTTTGGAGCTGTCTCTCCTAGAAGAGTAGATGTCCCCAGCTATCGACACTCATCTGCCCGGGGGTTCGAACTCGAGACTTTTCGGTTTAGAAACCCCTCCTTTTCTCTTTGACTTCCTCTTTCTTGAGCATAGTAGCTATTTTAGATTAGTGGGTTCAAGACTTTTAGGTTAGTAGTCGTGTACTAAACTCTAACGCGTATGTCTATAAAAACAAAAACAAAAATCTAAGAATGTTATAAGTACCCCCATATTAACGAGTAGTTTAAAAATTCTCAGTAAAATTGTTTACATTGTAATACAAATCGTTGTTTAATTATTTTTTTCGTCAAGGTTGACAATTAAAACTTATTATGTATTCATTTACTTTTTAATTAAATGCGTAATATAACAATGAATGATTGGTATCTAAAAATAAAAATTGTTTATTTCTAAACCGAGGTCAAGCCGACCGTACAGTGTTTCAATAATTAGCTGACGTGGAATCTGATACGGGATCGTCTGCCACGAATCCCATGTCGTGGACATGCAAACAGGAAGTGAAATTGGTAGTCTGGAACTGTTGACTCGCAGTCTGGTAAGTGGGGGGAGGGGGGGGAGATCTTAGGGAGGGGAATACTATTGAGGCATGTCGAGAGTGCATTGCCAAGACTCTTTTCTGCGATATGCCGCAAACGCGTCTTTATATAAAGAGATTGTAATATTAATTTCAACTGCTCTCTCCTGAACTTGATGACTGATTCCTGTTACCAAGACCTTGACAATTGTAATGGTATTATCCTCGCCTGATGTAATTAAAGTTTTAAGTGGGTGGATTGAATTCACAGCACTGCTAAATCAGCATTTCTCAATGGTATTGGGAATTTCTGTTAGTGTAATTCTGTCATTTGAGAAATAAAAATGTAGTTTTTTTTTCCAAAAAATGTATATAATTTTAATTTTTTATCTGTAATATATTAACTAATCGCTCTAGGTCGTATTTAAATATCTATAGATACTATTTAACACCACAACATCAACAAGGATAAAAAAAAATTATTAATAAAAATTTAATATAAACATTTCATTCTTTATTTTTGGCAAGTGTCCAAAAAGTGGGATGTTTGTGTAAGCATCTAACAGGGTCATTGGTAGTTAGCGTCCCACTTAGAGCACACTCGTTTGACACTTGATGTAATCAAGGAGTTCAAAATAAATATTATTTTAAAGTTTTTATTCCATTGAAATATGGTACTGCTACTAAATTTCAAAATTTAAGAACATATATTATTGCTCCTGGGC